ATTGGCATACAGTTCTTCATAGTATCCCAATACAATCTTTTTATTTCAGTTGGTTCTGTTGTGATGTCGCCCAATCTGTTTCTTATTCATGTCATTTGTATTCTCTACCTTTTTTCCTTTGTTAAATTTGCCAGTGGTTTGTCAGTTTTATTAATCTTTTCCAAAAACCAACTTCTAGTCTTGTTGATTTTTTTGTTTTTCTATTTTCTGTTTCATTTATTTCTTCTTGAATCTTTATTATTTCCTTTTTTATGGTGACTGTAGCCTTTCCTTGCTGTTCTTTTTCTCGTTGTTGGAGATGTTGGTTTAAGGTGTTGATTTTCGCTTGCTCTTCTTTTTTGAAGGGATTTATTCCTATAAATTGGCCTCTGATCACTGCTTTTGCCTGTGTCCCAAAGATTTTGATATGTTGTGTTTTCATTCTCGTTTGATTCAAGGAATTCTTTAATTTCATTTTTTATTTCTTTTACTCAGTCATTCTTAAGGAGAGTGTTGTTCAGTTTCCATGTGTTTGCTCTTTTTCTGTTCATCTTCCTATTGTTGATTTCTAATTTGATAGCATTATTATCTGAGAAGACTCTTTGTAATATTTCAGTGTTTTTAAATTTATTAAGACTTGCTATATGGCCTAACATATCTATCATGGAGAATGCTTCATGTGCACTGGAAGGAATGTATATTGTGCTGTTGTTGGGTGAAGTGCTCTGTAGTTGTCTATAAGGTCAAGTTGATGGATTGCATTGTTTAGTTCTTCTGCATCTTTTTTGAGTTTCTTTCCTGTTGCACTATCTTTTATTGGAAGTGGTGTATTAAAGTTGCCTGCTATTACTGTGGAGTCATCTATTTGCCTTTTCAGTTCTGTTAAAGTCTGATTTATGTATTTTGAAGCTTTTTCATTGGGTCCATAGATATTTATTATGGTTATATCTTCTTGTTCAATTGATCTTTTAATCATTATATAATATCCTTCCTTGTCTCTTATGATTGTTTTTGTCTTAAAGTCAATTTGATCAGAAATTAATATTGCCATTCCTGATCTTTTATGGTTGCTATTTACTTGATATATCTTTTTCCAGCCTTTGATTTTTAGTCTGATTGTCTTTGTCTCTAAGGTGCGTCTCTTGTAGATGCATATTGATGGGTTGTTTTCTTATCCAGTCTGTAACTCTCCATTTCTTGAATGGTGCATTTAGTCCATTGGCATTCAGTATATGAATTTGTTGTTGTCATTTTGTTATGTGTATTTTCATGGTGGTACTGGTTTCTTTGTTCCATATTTTATGTGCTGTGCTCCTTTTGTTTATAAATCATGTTATTATTTCCTTCATTTCTGTTGTTCTTATATTTGCTAAATATTTGTGCTTGTTCTGTTTTATATTGTGATGTGAAGATTTATTATTTTTCTTTGAAGTCACCCTGAGATTTATAATTTTTTCTGAGAGTTTAGAACAGTCCATTTTATCTTGCAACTCTCTTGACTTCCTCACTATTTAGAAGTTCTATAACTACACTCACTGTTTTTTCCCTCTTTTTGGTTTTTAGTTGTCCTCATTTGCCAATTGATGTCTCAGGTTCCCTGTTTACAATTTTGTAAGCTTATTTTACTTTGGATACTTCCATAACTAGGTTGGTTTCTGGCTTATGTTATCTTGTGTATTAATGGTCAATTATTTGCTATTATTGGTTCTCTGTTCAAAGGACTTCTTTTATTTCTATTGCGTGGTTGGTCTGGTTTTAACAAATTCCCTTAATTTATACTTACTTGCATATCTCCTAATTCCAGCATCATATTTGAGGGACAATTTTTCTGGGTATACATAATTCTTGGTTGGAAATTTTTCTCTTTCTGAGTTTTTTATGTAACATTCCATTGCCTTTTTGTCTGAATGATTTCTGCTGAGAAATCACAGCTTATTCTTATTGGTTGACCTTTGTAGGTAACTTTTTGTTTTTCACGTGTTTTCAAAATTCTTTATTTGTCTTTGGTTTTGGTGAGTTTAATGATGATATGTCTTTGTGATTTTTGGGGGGAGTTCTATCCTCTTTGAAGGTGGCATAGTGCCTAAGGCACTTGACTGCTAACCAGAAGACTGGTGGTTCAAACCCACCAGCCACTCCTTCGAAGGAAGGTGGGGCAATCTGCTTCTCTAGTAATACTGCCTCGGGAACCCAAGGAGGGGTTGCTATAAGTTGGGTTCCACTTGGGTGGCACAAAACAAAAACAGCAACAACAACATCCTGTTTGAGGTTCATTGGACTTCCTGACTGGATGTATTCTCCCCTTTGATCATATCAGGGAAGTTCTCTTCCAACAAATCTTGGACAATTTTCTCAGTGGTTTTATTTTTATCTTCCTGTTCTGGAATTCTGATTACATGTAGGTTATTCCTTTCTACGGTATCCTACATGAATCTTAGGCTTTCTTCATGTTGTTTTGATCTTTTCTCTGATTCATCCCTTTCCACAGAATTATTCAGGTATTTGTCTTCAGTCTCATTAATCCTGTCTTTCATTGATTTTATTTTACTCTTTTGCCCTTTCAATGTGTTACCTGTTTCTGAAAATCTGGTATTAATTTTCTGGATTTCTGTCTGTAGAGTTTGTGTCATTTCTGAGTTTTCATTTATTTTAACATTTTGTTCTTTTATTGACTTCCAAAATTGTTCTAGGATTTTGTCTGTGTTTTTCTTAATTTTTTCAGTGTCTTCCTTGATCTGTTTCTCAGTGATTGAAGATACCTAAATATAATTGTTTTGAATTATTTATCAGGGACTTCTAATGCTGCTTCTTCCTGAAGGATGTGTTCTGGGTCTATATCCTGCTCCCTTGTTTCTACTGCTTTATCTTGTTTATTTGTGTGCACTGTAATAGTCTGTTGTCTCTGAGACATTGGGACTTTGTTATATCTATATTTAGTTAGTGATTGTATATTGGAGTGATTCACCTAAGATTTATGTTTTTTTTTCTTTTTTCGGATGTTTCTGAGTAAGCAGGGTACTATGCTCCTCTATTTGCTAGTTGGCACTTGGCAGCACTTATACACTCACTGCCTGTCTCCTGATGGGTGTGATAGAGCATGAGAGTGGCTGCACAGGTCCTTGTTAATTGTTTGTAAAGAGCAGTTTAATGTGAGTCAGGCTCCTCTTGGTGGTTGTGTATTGTTGGCCAATTGATGCAGAAGAAAGTGGTGGCTCTTACTGAAAAGTGGAGCCGCAGGTGGTGCGGGTATTCTTGAGTTGTATGGGCATGGTTGCCATCTCCCATGAAGTTAGACTAAAACAACAATAGAAAAACCGTCAAAAAAGTAAAAACAAGAGGACAAAGAACACACACTGAATAAACACAAAGGAACAGTCACCAAAAAGATCAAAAAGAAAGAAAAGAAAAAAAAAAGAGGAAAGGCAATAAATGAGAGAAAAGATTTAAAGAAATACTTTAAAAATCCAAAAGAAATGTGAATAGTAAAATGGAAAAAAAAATCCGCAATATCTGGGGAGGGGGGAATAAGAGAAAAGAGGTTGAGTAGGAGAATGATGAAGAAGGAAATGGGAAAAATGCAAAGGGAAAAACAAGGAATGAGGAGAACCAAAGGAAAGAGAAAAAGGAGAAGCAGGAAAAGGGAAGAGAGAAAAAGCCAAAAAGTAGAATCTGGGAAGGGAAGAAGAAGGAATAGTAGTGAAAAGGATTAAAAAAGAGAAAAAGGGTAATAATTTTAAAACAGACAAAAACAAACAAACTGATAAAAAAAGAAAAAAGAAAAAAATCTGGGCAGGGTGGACCAGGGTACCCCGGCTCTGTCAGATTATGCAGACTGGGAGATTGAGTTCCTGTTGGTCCAGAAGGTGGGTGGGAGTGAGGGATAGCCATACCTCCATTCACCAAGAGGGTGTAGGGTATAAGAGTAACAAGGGGGTGTCGCATCTTTTCAGTCCTCACTGTCTGGAATGTCCTTGTGGTCCGTGGCAAGTGGAGCCTATTCTCAGGTCTCTGGAATCTGAGAGAATGCTGTCGTTTTATGTATACAAAATGGTTACACCACTCGTAAATGTTAAAAATGACTGTACCCTCCAGACAGCCAAAAATTCACAGCTCAGCCCGTCTCCCTCTTCACTGCTTCCCTTTTATTCACTAGCCACTAGTGTAGCCCTTTGTGCAGTCCCTGGCTAGTCGGGCTGATTTTTGGTTAATTCTTAAGTCCTGACACCACTTGGCAATATCCAAACTGTCTGTGCTGTCAGGATTGTTAATAGTCTGCAGCTCCATATGTCTGCTTTTTTGGTGTATTCACACAGGTTCTTCTGCTCGTTGGGGTTTAGTCTGCTTCTGTATCCTTCTTTTCAAAACTCAGGGCTCAGGATTATGTTCTATATCTGTGTTAATTGGTTCCTCTTTTCTTTGTTGAAGAAGGTCTGTTTAGTTTTTCTGCCTATTCCATCATCTAACTGGAACCCTAGGTTTATATTTTTAATATGCTAACTAAAGCAGTATATGAGGTTAGACTTTCCAATAGAATAATTTCTTAATGAACTGTAACATATTAGGATCTTTTTAAAATGACATAGAATTTCCTTATGGTTCCCACAGATAAGTATGATAATTGAAATTGAAGATATTTATTGATAAAATTAGTGTCTGTTTTAATTCCTTGTAAATAAAAGTTATTGAACGCTTCAGAGTATTTTCCATCATTTACCAAAGGTCAGCCCAGGCCAAACCCATAAATTCAGATGATCCCTAAGAAATGCTTTAATATGTATTTCACAATAAAGTGGAATTTGGTTACAAGTTTTATTATTTTTTTCCATTCATTTTTCTTATGGGTAAACTGTTTTACCCATATTCTGAATCTAATCAGAATATTCTGTTTAGTAAGTCATTAAGCATTGCTTTTTCTAGTTGATGTCACAACATATTAAAGCAAATAGGATGTTACACTGTTTTTTAAAAAAAACCTTACCAATTTTGTGTTTAAAAAAAAAATGGTATCTTTTCTTCTACAGATCCCAGCAATGGATAGAAGGGTTATTACACCCTATCAAGATGGACCGGATATTAGCTATTTGGAAGTAGAAGATGGAGATATCTTTTTGAAAGATGAAATAACTATGGAACAAAATTATTTGTAAGCCCCTTTTTCTTTCTTTCTCTCTCTCACCTTTTTTTTTTTTTCAAATATTTTATTGTGGTTTAAGGGGAAAGTTTACAGAGCATATTAGTTTCTCATTCGAATATATATACACAGATTTTTCCATGACATTGGTTGCAGTTCCACAATGTGTCCACACACTCCCCATTTCCACCTTGAGCTTCTTGTTTCAGTTCACTCAGTTTTCCTGTCATTTCCTGCCTTGCTTATTTTGCTTTTGGGCAATTGCTTCCCTTTTGATCTTGCTTAATTGATTGTCCAGGGAACTTGTTCCTCCTTGATATTATTGTTCACTTTAAAGGCTTCTCTTTTGTGTGGTTAAAAGGTAATCTCTGGGAGTAGTTCAGTTCCAAATTAGAAGGGTATCTAAAGGCCATAATCTTGGTGGTTCTACCAGTCTCTATTAAATTAATAAGTGTGGTCTTTTTTATGAATTTAAATTTTATTCTACCATCTTCTCCCACTTTATCTAGTACCTTTTATCCTAGTCTGAGTGGTAGGTGGTGGTAGATGGCTGGGCATTGTCTAGTTATTTTGTTCTCAGGTTAGTGGAGGCTACAGTTCATGTGATCCGTCAGTCCTTTGGACTGATTGTTTCCTTGAGTCTTTTATTTTCTTCATTCTTTTTGTTCCGCATGGGAAGAGACCAATAATTGTAACTTAGATAGCTTTTGGCCAACTTTTAAGACTCTAGTTGCTAATCACCAAAGTAGAATGTAGAACATTCTATTTATGGACTATGTTATGACCTAGATGTCCCGCAAGAGTATGGTTTGTAGCCCAGTATCTCAGTCCCAGTTAGTATTTTGTTGTGGCTAAGAAGTTTTCATGCCTATGCCACCGTGCACTCTATTATATATCCATGGGTATATTTATAGCATGTACAAATCATGTTTAGGAATATCTGCTGCCAAACCTATAGATGCACATGAGTGTATTCCCATATGCCCTCCTACCCTGGTTTAGAGTACATAGCTACCTGTGTATCTACTTGTGCATTGTTTGTTAGTACTGTTGTTGCAGGATTGCATATGTAATGGTGTTTTGGTTACTTTGTGCCACTTTAACAGAAGATACCACAAATGGGATGGCTTGAACAAACAGAAGTTTATTCTCTTATACTTTGGGAGATTAGAAGTCTGAGTTCACAGTGCCAGGCTCTAGGGGCTGGGTGAAAGCCCTTCAGCCTTGGGCTTCAGCTCTGCCTATTGTTCCTAGCCCACTGAAACTAGAGGCATCTCTTCACTGAGGCTGCTGAGGCTAACAAGCCCAAGGTCGACAAGTAAAATGATACAGTCCTGATTTTATGAAACCACATGGCAGGCCACTAATTCAAGTTCAGAAAAAGTCCCAAGGTTGGGAGGGTATGACAGGCTGCTGAACAACAACTTGGCTACATACAGGGCTCAAGTATGCCAAAAAGCTGGAGATCTTTCTCAAAGCTGCTTTTTATGTATAGGAAGCAGCCTACATCCCTAAAGCAGCTAGAAGCTGCTCCAGTAGATTCCACCATGGAATTAATTACCAATCTCATCATGGGGAATAACTATATCCAGCTGCCCAACCACTTACCAGGCCCAGCCAAGTTGACACACAATCTTATTTTTGTTGTTAAGTGCCGTTGAGTCGTTTCCGACTCATCATGACCCCATGCACAGCAGAACGAAATACTATCCGATCCCGCGCCAGCTCCGTAATCCTTACTTGAGCCCATTGTCGCAGCTACCATGTCAGTCCATCTTGATGAAGGCCTTCCCCTCTTTTTGTCGACCCTCCACCTTACCAAGCATGATATCCTTCTCCAGGGAATGGTCCCTTTTGACAACATGAGCAAAGCAGGTGAGACAAAGTCTGGCCATTCTCGCTTCCAAGGAGCATTTCAGCTGCACTTCCTCCCAGACAGATCTGTTAGTTCTTTTAGCAGTCCATGGTACTTTCAGCATTCTTTGCCAGCACCACAACTCAAAAGCATCAACTCTTCTTCGGTCTTCCTCATTCATTGTCCAGCTCTCACATGCATACGAGGCGATGGGAAATATCATGGCTTGTGTCAGACACATCTTAGTCCTCAGGGAGACATCCTTGCTCCTCAGCACTTGAAAGAGTTCCTTCACAGCTGACCTGCCCAGTGCTACACGTTGTCTAATGTCCTGACTGCTGCTTCCATGGGTATTGATTGTAGAACCAAGCAGTGTTAATTCTTTGACAACTCAATCTTTTCTCCATTTATCGTGATGCTGCCTATTGGTCCAGTTGTGAGGATTTTTGTCATCTTTATATTGAGATGTAAGCCATACTGCTGACTGTATTCTTCAGTCTTCATCAGTAAGTACCTCAAGTCATCCTCACTTTCAGCAAGCAAAGTTGTATTGTCAGCGTATCTCAGGTTGTTAATGATTCTTCCTCCAATCCTGATGCCACGTTTTTCTTCATATAGTCCAGCCTCATGGATTATTTGCTCAGCATATAGATTGAATAGGTATGGGGAAAGGATACAACCCTGACACACTCCCTTCTTGATTTTAAACCATGCAATGTCCCCTTGTTCCATTCGAACGACAGCCTCCTGGTCAATGTACAGGTTCCTTCCTCATAAGTATAATCAGGTGTTCTGGAATTCACATTCTTCTCAATGTTATCCATAATTTGTCATGATCCACACAATCAAATGCCTTTGCATAGTCAATAAAACACAAGTAAACACCTTTCTGGTATTCTTTGCCTTGAGCCAAGATCCATCTGACAGCAGCTATGATATCCTTTGTTCCACGTCCTCTTCTGAATCCAACTTGCACCTCTGGAAGTTCTCTGTCAATATACTGCTGCAACCATTTTTGAATTATCTTCAGTAAGATCTTACTTGCATATGATATTAATGATATTGTTCTGTAATTTCCACATTCTGTGGGATCACCTTTCTTTGGAATGGGTACAAATATGGATCTCTTCCAGTCAATTTTCCAGGTAGCTGTCTTCCAAATCTCTTGGCATAACTGAGTGAGTGCCTCCAGTGTGGCATCTGTTTGTTGAAATATCTCAGTGGGTATTTCGTCAATTCCTGGAGCCTTGTTCTTCATCAATTCCTTCATTGCAACTTCGACTTCCTCCTTCAGTAACATTTGTTCTAGATCATATGCCACCTCCTAAAATTGATGAAGATCAACCAGGTCTTTTTGGTACAGTGACTCTGTGTATTCCTTCCATCTTCTTTTGATGTTTCCTGCATCATTCAATGTTTTGCCCATAGAATCTTTCAGTATTGCAACTCAAGGCTTAAATTTTTTCTTCACTTCTTTCAGCTTGAGAAATAGTGAACATGTTCTTCCCTTTTGGTTTTCTAACTCCAGGTCTTTGCACATTTCATTATAGTAATTGGCTTGTCTGCTTGAGCTGCTCTTTGAAATCTTCGGTTCAATTATTTTATCTT